AAGATTTTGTTGAGTGAATCCCAGGGTAGCAGCATATGTCAAGTTAGTATTGTCAAAACATCTGCCAATTACTCTGGAGGATTTTGGGGGGGTTGTTGTTTGTTTTTTAATCCATTCTTCAAATATACAACACCAAATACTAGTAAGATGTCATCATTTTAGAGAAATAAGATTAGAGATGCTGCTGTCTGGCTACTGTGTCTAACAGGTCCAACTGCCTTTTCTGCCCAGTATGAAATGTGGACTTTTTTTCCACAACAGTGTGAATTTCCAAGTTTCTTTTCTCTCTTCGGTATAATTCCTATTGCAAAATTTCACTACATGGCTACATAGTATGATTATATTACTTTGTGCAAAAAGTAAAGTGCAGCTTTTTGTGATTGTGAACAAGGAGACCAGTTTATTGCAATGGTCGTCAATCGCAAAAATTGCTAATTAATGCAGCTGAAATACATGACTATCTTTTATTCACAATAATCTAAACTATGCAAATTTTCAAGGTTGCTTCTTTCTGTGTCAGAAAACATTCTGAAAGGAAATCTTTTCCCTGGAAAACGAGAATGACAGGTAGAATAAATGAAGTATGTCTGCTTAGGAACAAGTATTTTATGCATAATTATTTCATACCCTGCAAATTAACTGCATCGTGTGTGCCTGGGAATTACAGAAAACTGACATAATGTACTTAGGGCATATTGGAATTTACTATGCAATTATATTTTTTGTTGCCTTTTATATTTTTATAAGTGTTTGTGACATAAAAATCCAGGAAGGAGACATCAGCGGTGGTATTCTTTGTTACTGTTTCGGCACAGGTGCATTTCCCAGAAGTCAAATACATATTCTGCTTATTTAACCTTTTTTGTAGCATCTCTGTATCATGCAAAAATGTAGGTATGCAAACAATTGATAAGGTAATAATTCAAGAATGTAGGTGAAAATCCCCAGGAAAATGCCAAAAAGGTCTGTTTGGCTTCTAACAAAGTGAAATGGAAAAAAAAGGAAGAGCTTCCAGAAGAGGCTCTGAAAGAGCAGGCAGAGGTGGGAGCCAGGCTAGGAAGCTGTGCAAGTCAAGTGAGGACGGAGCTTGTGGAGTCTTTCAGGACAAGGCTTTCTTTTCTGTGCTCACATGGGCTGTCTAGCCACTACCAAAATATGACTAATAAATGGTATTCAGAAACTACCTGTGGAATACAAATGGAGCTGTTAGTGTAACCTTCTCAAAAAGTGGAGGAATAAATACTGTCAGCTGAGTACAAGCCAGCAGCTGTATTTTAGTATGAGACACTTTAAAGGGAAGCCTGGTGTTCCCTGTTAACTTCCATGGGAAGCTAGAATTACTTTACTCCTATTTGTATTGAACAATGCATGGACATTGGACATTTCAGTATATAGGAAATCTGTTTATTAGTGTGTCCCAAACTACAAATTCATGCAAAATGTCCCCATACATGTTCTTTTTTTGTTTTCATCTGTTAATTAAATAAGAGAGAACATTTTGTAGAGCCTCAAGTTGGCTTGAACCTTGTGGTAAAATTGTTCTGTTTGGGGCAATCAAAAAGTTTACAGAAAGCTTTTGAAGCTCATGTCCTTTAAATAGAGAATAATAAACTCGATGAGATCCCTCTTTAAACAAGTAGAACTTTGCTGAAAGGGATAAAACAGAGTACTGCAAATAAATCTCCTTCCCATCCACTAGCTCCTTGAGGAGCTTGTTTTCTCCTTCAAGCTTTTACTTGCCAGTTGATCCCCTTCAGTAGCTGCCTTCTGTTCAGGCTCCATGGATTCCTTTGCTCCATCAGCTAGGCTTGGCAAGGGTTTGCTCCCTGCCACGCGCAAGACCCTTGCTCTGCTCAGTCACCATGCCTGGAGATTGCCAGCTGGCTGGAAGTGCTCCTGGCTTCTCCAAAGCCACCGACTTCTCATTTGCTGTCTGAGGGAGCAGTATCCCTCTCCCAGAGGGTTGCTCCTGACCAGGGTGCCAGAGCCAGGACTAGACAGTTAGGCAGCCAATTTTTCCCTGATTCAACTTCACCCTTTTAGCAAAATATACCTCACACAGAAAATGGAAACCAGCCGGCTCTGCCATCCATGACAGCTATAGATTTCATAGGAGCAATTGGTGTCTTTATAAACAGATATGGGTAAGGATATAGACATAGATGTAGGAATCAGGTTTGAAAATAACATTCTAAAAAGACTCCACCTAAGTGCTAGCCTTGTCTAAGCAACAGCGGTAGAGTTTTCTCATTGGTTTGCTTTCAAATCTGTGTAGGCAGGAAAGCTTACAGATGTTTAGGTTTGAAACTGATGGCAAAGATAATTAATTGCATTTAGACTTAGCACTTACAAAAATGCTTCTGACAAACAGCCTTCCCGCAAAGGGGTATTATGTTGGTGCTATTTGCAGCATTTTTTGCAAAGGCTCTGTGGTGGTATTTCCATTACAAAACTCTTTCTTTCTGTCCTTTCAATAAAAATTCACTCCAGGCTGAAACATGGAATGTGGTTCAGCTCTTGATCAGTGGTTGTTTTAACCACTTTTCTAGAAAATTGACTGAGCTGAGGTTTTTATGTTGTACAAAGGTTAAAAAAGGTGTGGAGGGGAGGAAATGAGGGAGGGGAGCAGCACCGGGATGATCAAAATGGTATGCTATTGGAATCATCTGTAGACCACTTGTGCTCTAGTGGAATTCATTACAGTTCTTTTTAGTGCGTGAAATTCTGCACATTGGCCCATCTGTAGGAAAATATTTCAACATCTACATAAATCTTTATGAGGAGGCTGTAGCAAGTGAAAATTATAAGAAAATAAAATACGGTGGGAGATGATATACTGCGTTGATTTTTACATAATTTCTGATTTAGGGGAGGTAAAAATCACTGCTTTGAAATTATGGGGTGCTGAGGGGTTTTGTTGTTATTTATTTATTTATTTCCTATGCTGTTCTCCGAATTATATATATGGGTGTGGTGGTAATTAAACCGTGTGGAAGCACTGAGTCATTTGGAAAACATTTTTTACTGAAAGGTCAGTAATGTGAAATAAAGTACCATTCTTATGTCTGCTCAGTTTGCATCTGACTAGAATTGAAATGCTGAGGAATGAATTCTGAGTCTCCACCTACTTCCTCAAAGATAGCAGCAACTTCACTGTTGTGAGGACTTTTGGCTAGTAAAATCATAGCCATCAGCTTTGCCTGCTATTCTGAGTTGGTAGAAGCTTGCTTTTGTGTACCTTTTGTTTTCCCGAGTTTGTTTTCCTTGGCTGTTATGTCAGCATATTGGTATGTACCTATATATATATAGCTTTTCATTTTGTGGCTTTTGTTTTGCTTGCTTGTTTGCTTTAATGTTGCACCTATTTTCCGTCATTATATGCATTTTGTTATATACTGCATAATTATTTATTTCTTGCTGTGGCTGGCCAGATGTCTCAGTTATGTTTGGAATGCGTCTGTTATACGCAACCTCAGTCACTTCGATGTGCCTTGGAGCAGTTCGTCGCATGCTTATGTGTTAGGTCTGCTTAAGCTGTCATCTTTCAGTCATCAGACCTTGCAGAGACTAAGTCAAGCTTTAGGTGGCCTACCCTGGAATAACCGATAAATTCAGCTTGAAATCGTTGTAAAGAAACCTGAATGGTAGCCTCAGAAGACAACAAATTCAAGTGGCATTTTTGCTGAATCTTCATTGTAGCTGCTTATTTTGGTGTAAATCTTCCTGTATTGACAGCACTTGGAGAGCCTTGCAATGGGGCAGAAACATCCAGATTTAGTAGCAAAGAACCACAGTAAAGCTCATTTTTATCACTGGAAGATATAAATGTTAGGAGAAACAAATATAAGAGCCTTTGGGGACTCTAGAAAGAGGCGAGTGAGAACAGCAATTGGGGACTTGAACATCTTGGTTCTTCTCACAAATCAAAGCATAGCTCTCCCAGTAATTGTAATAGTCCCATTTTACTTTTGACTGTCAGAGGCTTCCTAGAAAAATAGAATCACTGAGGATTCAAATACTGCCAGGTCAAAGATTTCAATCTAGAGGTATACAGCAAAACTTTATAATATAGGCTTTTCTGTTGTTCACTTAGGAGAATTATGGTGTTTTCTTACTTCTGATACTAGTATTTCTATGCTGTGGAAAGACTCAATTAATATATGTAGATTCCCAAAACAGCTTTACTCCAGAGAAATTGAATGTTTGGGAATGTTTCGACTGTTTTAAAATAGAAAATATGGGTTAATCTAAATATAGGCTTTAATATATGTAAAATTTTAAAGCATTAGCTGAAGTGACATTTTTAATTTAAGTAAATCTCCCTGCTGCTCTTTCTTCACTGGTTTCATGCAAAAAAAAATTTGCAAGGAAGGAGGATTTTCTGATAGACTATCAGATTTTTAGTCATAATCAAAGAAGTAAAATCACTATACTTAATTACCTAAAATCTTTGAATGTACTACGTATGCATGTAAGGTGGAACTTTCAATATATTCATAATAAGAAATACCCTTACAGCGTTCAAAAAATCTGATATTCCAGTTCAATATGAGTAGTAACGGACGTGAGAAAAATCTGTAGGCAAGCTACACAACACTAGAATTCTTAATTGACAGTGTAGTTTGTTACTAGATGAAACAGGGTTCACACACACTTGTAAATACATGAAAAAAAAATGCTTTTAGGAAGGAGTTATTTTAGGCAGTGAACAAAGTGGCAGAAATCAGAGTCAATGTCGTTTTTTTCAGAGGAAGATCAAAGGTAACTGAAGTCACTTCATTTCTGGGTTTATACACAAGTCCCTCAGTACACTATTCAGAAACTTGGTGAACTCTTGTGCTTTTTTCCATAGAGAAAAGAAACTACTATGCATAAAGGCAACTGCATCCATATCCCTGCATTCCAGGGTGTGATTTCACTTCATAGAGCCTCTTGTGTAACATACCTCGCTTTGTTAATGTGCTGATTCCTACCTTATAACATGATTTTTTGTTTTTCAGCTCTGAGGGACAACAGAATTGAGCTGGTCCGAGCTTCGTGGCATGAACTGAGTATCAGTGTCAGTGATGTGTCTCTGTCGGATGAAGGGCAGTACACCTGCTCTTTATTTACTATGCCTGTCAAAACTTCCAAGGCTTTTCTTACCGTTCTCGGTAAGTATAAATAGCAGAGCATAAAGAAGCAAGTGTTAAACTTCTCGGGCTTTGGCAAATTATGACAAGAATGAACTTTTCTAAAGCTTGGCAGAAGATACATGTAAATGTCTGATCTTGTTTCCCTGAAGTTTATTGTTTCATACGGCTATGCTGAAAAATAACATGCCTCTTACTATTTGCACTGTGGCAGGATAATGAATTAGGGAGCACACAAATACCGCGGCATGAGTGCTCCATAAAATGGACATAACCTCTACATCCCAAGCACCAGAAGTGCAAAGAAGGTGCATGTGTTCATCTCCTAACAGTGTATTGTATAGGGCAAAGGGGAGAAAATCAGAAAGCATGAAATCAAAACGGGCTTTAGAGCTTTATCGTTTTTCCTTAGCTGTGCATTTTCTTGGCTCGTTCTGCTTTCTTTTTTTTGTCTATAAAGTGCATATTTTCACTGGGTTTGCTGCTTCTTTTATGCTTTATCCTCTAAATGCTCTGCTGTTTTCCCCAAAGGTTATAGATACCCATAGAAAAGCAATAGATTTCGAGAGATGCCCAGGAAATAAAGTTTCTGCTCGAAGCTTTATATGAGTCTATGAATGTCAGTAGCCCAATCAGCTGAAATTGCTATAGTTCATTGAAACACACCTGCGTACCTAAGAGGTTATATGATTTTAGAGATTGATTTTTATTCTTTTCTCCTTTTTCTGTCCCTGAACTTAACTCTTTCTTTCTTTTTGTTTTATTTCTATATCTAGACAGGCAGACAGTAGAATTTAATAGGACTAATGTAAGATGTTCTCTGCGCCAGTAATATTCACATTAATGCAGCCAGGGAATTGGGTTTGTGCATAGGATATGAAATACGTCTCCCATTCAGTCCCTGTGAGACTATTTTACAAAAATCTTCACAGGTTTGCCATTAAGGACAGAAAATATCCACTCAAAGCAGAACATTCTGCAACAATTGCCTACGGTTAATCTTTTCTGCAGAGAGGCATCTCATGATCTAAACAATAGATGAGTAGACCATTTCAACCTTTTAAATGGCAGACAGACATAGGAAGGTGTTACAAAGACAAAAAAACATCTAGCCAATATTTAATAACCAAAGTGACTTGATCTTTCACGGTCCTTTTAGTTTTATCTTCGTTTTGGGGGAGGGCTTAATGAAATTTTCCCAACATCAGCTACTTACCTTCCAAGAAAGCAAGCTGCAAGGTTTAAGATGCCTGTCTTTTCGTTTTACATTTGTAATTTTCTATTTCAAACTAACATTTTAAACTCTTGGAACACTTTCTATCTGAAAATGGGGTATTTTCCATTGAAATATATTACATCTTTTAATCAGATAAACTATCCTTTTATGTACTAATAATCTCTTTATTGACTGCTCCGTTACGGATTAGAAGATTTAATTGTCAAGGTATTATAGTAGACACCATTTTCTGTCCCGAAAGAGAGGAGCAGATTTATTGCAGAAATGTACTATGCGGTAGGTACTGCTGCTTGGTTTTTATGTACCTAATCTGTCATTTTGGAAAAGAGATGTAAACAAACCAAATTGTGAAATACAGGGCACAGGATCAATTACTGTGACTGATCCCTTTATCTACCCACCAACATGAATGTGTCAAAGTGCTGCAGATGCAAGTTATAACAACAACATTTTCAAAGATTTTAAAATTACCGTCATCAGTAGCACTTGAAAATAAGTTATTCTTGTGTTTTCGGAAGGCAAATGGATTTCTACATGTAGGGATCAAATTTTCTCTAGTTCTCTTCATAATTTTTTTTTAAATCTTCCATGGTTCATTGAAAAACATCTATTTCCAAATTTAATATTATGTGTATAGTATCTCATGATCATACAGCCTCCTCCAAAGAACTTGGATTCAGCCGAAGAATTCTCCACAGCCAATGGAATTGTGATTATACCCATTGGGTTTTGCTTATGTATTCTCTGAAGATAAAGTAACTCCTGTATTTATTTTCATCCTCCTGTTTCCCTGGATTTTCTTTTATAATCCTCATAATTCATGCTTAAATATCTGTTCTGAACTTAGATCACTTCAGCTTTTTGTTGCCAGTTAAGTTTTATTTTCACAGCTGTACTTGTAATATACTTTGTCATCCTGCTTGCTGTGCAGACCAGTTTAAACTTTACAATACCAAGTCAGACTAGATCTGCATGCAGAATATATGTAGATGAGATACTTTTTAAAATACAATATTTCCCTTAGAAAACTAGATAATTTCTCTCTAATTCTTTAGAATCAACTACAGTTTAGAATTACATTTTATTTGCAATAGGAAACAGGATTCACTGACATTCAATTTTGATAGAAGGTAAGGAGCTAATTACTCTGTTTCCAGAATTTAGAGTTGTCTTGGTTTTGTCTGGAATAGAGTTAATTTTCTTCCTAGCAGCTGGCACAGTGCTGTGTTTTGGATTTAGGCCGAGAAGAATGTTGCTAACACCCTGATGTTTTAGCTGTTGCTGAGCAGGGCTTACACCAGCCAAGGGCTTTTTCATCTTCCCCTGCTCTGCCGGGTGCACAATAGCTGGGAGGGGGCACAGCCGGGACAGCTGACCCCCACTGGCCAAAGGGGTATTCCACACCATAGGACGTCATGCTCAGCATAGAAACTGGGGGGAGTTGGCCAGGGGAGAGGCTGGATATCGGTCAGTGGGTGGTGAGCAATTGCATTGTGCATCACTTGTTTTATGTATTCTTTTATCATTATTATTGTTGTAGTTGTTGTTTTTACTATCTCTTTCTTTGCTGTCCTATTAAACAGCCTTTATCTCAACCCACGGGCTTTACTTTTTCCCCTGAATTCTCTCCCCCATCCCATGGCAGGGGTGGGAGGGTGAGTGAGCGGCTGTGTGGTGTTCAGCTGCCTGCTGGGTTAAACCACAAGAGCGTAGGAAGAAGTGAACTTGAAGTTGGTCATATATTTATGGCAGCAGCTGACACTATCGGAGACATTTTTCTTGTTTTTTTGTTAGGTGTTCCCGAGAAGCCACAAATTACTGGATTTACCTCACCAGTTATGGAGGGAGAGAGGATGCAGCTAACTTGCAAGACATCTGGTAGTAAACCAGCAGCTGATATCAGATGGTTCAAGAATGACAAAGAAGTTAAAGGTATTTAAAAGGACTTTGATGTAATTTGGTCCAATGGTCAAAACTATATATTATTTATAATCATATTTTTAAACTCATATTTATAAAGTTTCTCATATTTAATTGTTAAATGAATCGTGTTAGTATGTAGATAAAGAATTGATTGTAAATTACTGGAATATATAACCATCTGGAATATATAACCATCTCTTTATTTTTTTCTTCAAATGGTAAAAACTGATGTTTTGAATTGCTCTAAACTGTTCAGCATAATAAACTCAACTGTGATGCTTCACAGAGAAACGTTTTATGGATTACCGTTATCACAGCTGTACCACTAGCCCAAGATATTTTACCTTTTCATTTCTTTTTGCCTTTCCAATATGACATATGTCTGATTTAGTCAATTGCCAGTTTTATGTTGCACTCCTCTAAGTGACAGGGTGAGGCAGAACCATCTGGAGGAAAAAGGTGAGGAAGAGTCAGGATGTGGCAACTGAGGGAATCGCAGCTGGAAAACTGGGAACCTGTAGCTGAGGCAAGGATGCTGAGAGTGTGTGGGTGAGGAGCAGGGAGAAGATAGGCTTCAAAGGGGATGAGAAGAACTTCACAGGGGCTGGGGAGAGCTGGATAAAGCCTGCTGTAACTGAAAAATCATCGGGTGACTAAAATTGAAGCTGAAAGCAAGGATTTGCCTTTGAGGACGCAGTGAGATAGGTTGCATATAAGCTATTTATTTATTTTCAGTCTTTTCTTTCACTTTGTGTGTTCTTTATTTAAAAATTACTTTTCTAGTCCATATTCTCATAAATGCCACAGTCATTTAAAAGCCTTTTTGCTGAATGGGTGGAGAGAGATTCCTATAACAGAAGGCTTAGTGACATCTACCACAGCCAACTGAGGTGCCCATTCTAGAGTAGATGAATAAAAAGGATAAGGTATTAGTATTTATTAATGTCACCTCTACTCATTCTGCTGTAAGACCAGATCAATAAATGATTCAAAATGTACCTTTTCTGGGTAGTTTTCTTTTAAAAAAAGCCCAACTTTTATCTGCTTTGTCTCATATATGTCTGACATTGTGGATTTTGTTTGCTCAATAAACTGCCTCAAGCAAAGTTACAGCATTAATTACAGAGTCCATTAATCTTCCTTTACTACTCTCTACCACAGTTCAATATACACAACTAGAGCTGTGATATAAAATTGGTAAGTAAAGGAGATGGCAGTTGATTGTCCAAGGAACCCAGTCCATTCTAGAAGCATCTTTAGATTTCTGATGAAAATAAGAATAGCATTGAAGGAGACAGGAATTTTAGGCTGGAATCATTTGAAGTCTGTTTGAGCACCTGTAACGAGGATAGAGAATGAGGAAACAGAGTACAATTCTTTCCAGCCACTGGGAAATTTGAGGAAATTGCTGAAAGAAAAGTAGTGCCTCATCAAACATAATTAAAAAAAAAGAATTTAACAGCACAGCTAACCCACATGGCACAGCACAGATTCTGTCATCCAGAAGAGATGACAGGATGAATATACATATATTCTAGGCATGTAAAGATTGAAAATCACTCTAAGCAATGTCAATACATTAAGAGAACCACCGATACAGTTGGCCTAACAGCAAGGCAACACATCTCAAAAGATGTTATTTTTGAAATTATATTTTAAAAACTAGTTCCCCAACTTTGCCTTTCTTTCAGCTGACATATAATTGAAGCCAAGCAAGCAATTTGGTGATTTGACTCTTTAACTAATTTGCTCTTCTCAACGGTTCCTAAAGGGATGCTTTTTAGAAAAAGGGGGTGGGGAAGGAACAAAGAAGATGTGTGAAAAAGAATAGTAAAGGGAAAAAAAAGAAACCAGAAATTAGAGGAAAGTACTGAGCACATTCATTTCAGTTTAGTTTTCTAGGTCTTCTGAAGAGCACATTGCCATTTCACAAAGGTTAGAAATAAAATAACCTAACCAGTTTGCAGTGGCATCAGCAGAAGTTACATTAGCTTTGTGCACTGTAAAAGGTGAAATGATAAATCTGAGAAAATAGATATGAAATTATATGCTAATGCAGCTGACATTAAAGGTTAGGAGTTCGTCTGTCTAGCACCAGTAAATCCAATTGTGTTACAGTGTATTATACATGGTGCAAAAGAATATAAATGATGCATGGAGTTCAGAGTTGCACCAAAGGGGAAAAAGCCATTCTAAAATTGTAGCTCCACTGCTATTACTCAAAAAAAGAATCATCATCTGGTAAAGGAATACTGTTTGACAGAGTAAGTGTTAGTAATGAGAGAGACTGGGAAGCACTGAGTACCATACCTTTTACTTTAGTGTTCTGTCTCTTGTATATGCACCAAATTAGCAAAGCGATCTGCAGTTTAGCATTCTGGTGACACTTCTGGAAGATTATTAAAATGAAAAATATCGGAGAATGTAAATACATAATTTTTGTTAAAAAATTATCTGTTTTTTCAACAAAATTTTTTACATGCTATTTCAACAATATAATATAAATTATTATTTTCAGGATAATTCAGGAATATTTTTAATTGATTTTTTTTTCCCCATAGCAAAATTGGGCTTCAAAAATAAATGATAACATCAGTTCATTTTGTTGCAAAAGATTAAGACATTTTGAATTAGTTTTTATATTTTTAGTATACACAAAGAATTCAGAGAGGCACTGAACTTTTTTGTCATGATAAACCTCTAAAGCAAAGATGAAAATTTTTTATATAACAAGGCCATTTCGTGGCAGAACTTGATCTTAAACTTAAACAAAAATTATATTTGCCTTGTAAAAACAACAAAACTGCCTTTTTAAAAGATGAATGTTTCTACATGGATATTACAAGTATGTGCGTTTATAAATAGCTGACAATGAACAATGAAGGATAGACATTCCATCATTTCTGTTTATTGTTTTTACCATCAAACATCTATACTTATGAGATATAAACTAGTATTAGTTAATACAAGAATGTCTGTATGTGCACCTATGTGATAGAGTCATAGAAGTGGGCCCATAGCTGATCCTTAGATTTCATATGGCCTGATCTCTGTTCAAAGGTTAGAACAGGTCGCTAAACATCTTCTCCAGTTCAGTACTGAAAAATCTCCAAGGATGAAAATTCCATAGTCTGTCTGGGCTAGATGTTTCAATATTTGAAAGCCCTTATTGTGGAGAATTTTCATTATATGTAGATATTTCATGATGCATAACCAGAATTTGCCTTGATGTAGCTTGTGTTCATTGCTTCTCAACTTTTGCTGTATGACTCTGAGAGGACTCCGGCTTTTTCTTCACTATGACCATGCATTAGGTACTCGAAGGCAGCAGTTTGATCCGGTTTTAGTCTTCTCTTCCTCAGGTTGAACAAACCCAACTATCTAAGCTGCCCTTGTACATTGTATGGTCCCACCACTGACCATCTCTATGGCTTTTGGCTGAGCCCACTTAGGTTTGTCGACATCTTTCTTGTACCAGAAAGCCCCAAACTGGGCCTGGCACTCCAGAAGCAGCCATGCAAGTGCTCAATAGAGGAGAAGAATCACTTCCCTTGACTTGCTGGCTATGCTATTATTAATACAGGGCAGTCATTTTTTAGCTTTCAGCCCTGTAAAGGCACACTGTTGACTAACGTTCAACCTGTCTTCAAGACTACTTTCTACCTAGTCATCCCCCAACCTGTTTCATTATAGTGATTTCCAGAGCAAGTGCCTCTGTAATAGATTTTGTGTGTGTGTGTGTTTAACTTTTCAAGGGGGTATTTAGGAGAGAAAGAAGTAGCAAGAAAATAAGTGAAATAATGGGCTACAGTAGACATATTTAAAAATTCTGTAAAAACACTGGGTAAATATTCTGAATGCTAGCATATGGTGACATACCCAGTACCAGATCTCCACTGCCCTTAAACACAGGTGGGCCTACACTCAGTTAACATGTATTACAGTCACACCTTCATTTTGCTGTGAAGAAGCATCTAAGAAGATATTGCTGATAAAGTGGAAAAGCTCAGTATTTCTGTTGATGAGTATCTCAACAGTTTCTAGAACAGTATCGCCATCCTTTTTACAGAGGTAATTAATTCTGAAGAGTTGAACTCTTCCAAATAATAGCTGTCTAGAGAAAGGCTTCTAAACATCTGTTTAGGAAATTAACTGCTTTTGTTTTTCTAAAGGATTAAGCATCCACAACCTCGCACTGATACTAAAGTTTTGATGTTTTCAGGAGCTGAATGTCCTCCACCTGAAGTCAGCAAGCAAATGGATGTGTGCATTACTTATAAGCAGAAGGCTATCTATATAGGTGCTTATTATTACATTTGGAAACCTAACTCTGGGGAACAAAATCTCATGTGTTTGCTTTAAATATTAGTGAAGACATCTGTTGTTTGATTATGATAACTTTGCTTTAGCCCTGGTCAATATTTATCTCACCTACTGATCCCTAACTATTAGTAGTCACTGTGGCAGAAATTGAAATCTCTTAAAGCTTAGCAACCAACAGGCAGAAAAATGCTTGTAAGCAAGAAATAATTATTTCTTAGGAAAAAAAAAGGAAATTGTATAATTACGTGGTGTCTTCATCTATCTGGAGACAATGAAAAAGACCACTTTTCTGATTTCAGAGGTATTTTTAATCTAAAAAGATATAGCTTAAGCCATTTAAGATTTGCTTTCTAAAATTGATATTTCATGGAAATTTTATTTAGGTCATCTTCTCTAATGGGATTTGGTATCATTTGTAAAACTGAAACATCTCACTTTTTTTAGGACACAGAGGACATATGCAATCTCAGTGTAATTTAATATATATGTTTATGTATGTCTTTTAAAGCTTTCAATGTAACAAATCAATGTAACGAGCTTACTACTTTGCTGAGATAAATGAAAATCAATAAGTATTATAAGTAGTTGGGAACCAAGTAAAACAATTCTAAAGTATGAGTAAGAAGATCTCATGTTGCAGTCAATACATTAAAACTTTTAAAAATAAATGCCTAGTCTTTTGGGTCTTCATCTCTGATCTAACACGTATGTCCTACGACAAAACTTTCTGAATTTGAACCTTACACTTGAGCTGAGCTGAATAATTCTTAACCATAGCTGTAGGCTCCCCGCATTCTAGTATCTGGGTTGAAAACTGTCAAAGAGATTTTTAACTGAGTCTGCACAAAAGCAGTAGGCAAATTTAGCATGATATAAAGCAGTGAGTGGAAGGTCTCTTTGAAGTAATTTTATTTCCAGTCTTCTTGGGACTTGTCTATAGAGTCTAGTAAATACTGTGACATGCTCTGTTTACAGTTGTTCATCACCACTGATAGCTATACTTTGGTTTAGTTTAATTCATAAATTAGCATAATTCTAGCCAAACAAACGAATAAGCAATGAATAAAGTAAGCACAGGATTAATGTGATGACAAGCATGCAACCCTCAGTTTGCATGGCCTCAGTAATATCCATGTATTGCATTACTATGAAAGATTGTAAGCATGGACTTAGAAAATTTAATGTTTAGTGACAGTGTGAATACCTAAGGGAAGTGAGGGTGGAGGAGACCCCATTTTTTCTAATTAACTGAAGAGAAAGCTTATATCCAGTTGGACTTAAACATAAAAGAGATAATAAAGAAAGGAATTTCTGTTTGAGTACAGTAGCATATAGCCAATTTTAAAATGTTCTTTTTCAATAAATATCTCTCAGTCTGACAATCAGAGCAAACTGAGGAATAACTACATTCTGATTACTTTTGATTAAAGAGTTCAATACAGATATGAAAGAGATGTTTTTTCAACAAGCGTGATAGATAATTTAGCTGTCTGATGCGGGACTACTTTCCTTAAAATATTGGAGAGAAACTTGTTTGTTTATTTTTTCTTTCAGATGTTAAATATTTAAAAGAAGAAGACGCAAATCGTAAAACATTCACAGTCAGCAGCACACTGGATTTCCTAGCAGATCGCAATGATGATGGTGCAGTTGTAAGTTGCAGAGTAGATCATGAGTCCCTAAACTCTACACCTCAGATAGCAATGCAGGTTCTAGAAATACACTGTAAGTAATACAGATTATATACGCTCGCTTTTATAGTTTTGTTTTGTTTCAGAGTTTCTGTTGTGGGAAAATTATGAAGATCTCTGGTATTGTGTGGATACATAACATCTTTCTTTTAGCCAACTTCTCTGGTTTGTAGCTGTTTGTTTGGTTGGGGTTTTTTGTTTGTTTTTTTACAGGAGTAACTCTAAAAAGTTTAATGAGAGCTTTACCAGTGAAAACACTATGGGACTGAGCTCCTAGTTTGCTTTGAGAAGTGGTAGACAGGAAATGCATTTGTCTTTTTTGTTTATCATTGTAGCAATGTGAAAGAGTTCTTAAAAATCGAAATCATAGTAGTTCACAATTTTCCTTGGAAGTATCTAGAAATTTGAAACAAGGATATGAAGAAGCAAAGTTTGCAGCAGACTGCCTCAATAACTTTGAATCCTGCTAATGAAACTCTGTGTAATGCTGTTAATAACACAAATCCAGGAGGAAAAGCCCTTTAGAATTTAATTTTAGTCCTCGTCTATACAGGATGTTACTTTAGATAACCCAAACTTCAGTTGTTTTTTATATCTATATATTGGCTTATTTTTTCAAATAGGATTTCTGGAAACTTGATGTTTTCCACAGTGCAATGTTTCAAAAGTGAATGAACCTGCCTAAGTATATGTGTGCCCTGCTCTGAAGTCATGTTGGCCTTTGAGTCAGTTGGGGTTTTTTTTTCACTTATAAACCATGAGATACTCAGAAGAACACCTTTTCACCATCAGATGTCATTTTTGTATTCACTTTCATTATACCCACCATTCTTCAGGGTACAGCTATTTGGATTTCTGCAAAACACCTGTACTTTTCATTGCCAGCTAGCAAAACCAGGCATCTGCAAAATATTGTCAGACCAGCTGAAGGGGAGAGACCTTTCATGAATCTGTTTCTAGAGTAGGTGTAATCAACCTGTTATAAAGCAGACAAGCTTGTCCATAAAGCAGACAAGCTTCCAGTAACTGCAACTAGCTCCCAAGATACCATGTCAAGGACTGCTGGCATATACAACTTGTTTCTAAACAGGGATATTTCTATACGCATCTAGGACTCATGGCACACGTAAAATGCAGTAATAGCAAAAGCACTCTATGCTTAGAAGCTGACAGCATTGCTAAAAATGCCATCTGCAAAAGAAGTCTGAAAATTAGGAGGATGTAGAATAGCATCCACAAGTAATATGTACTGAAAATAACTGTTTTCTGAAACATTCTACCCATCATTTTACTGAGGAAGATCAAAGCCTTTCTTCACCAAATGACATTTAAACACCTGCCGCCCCTAACATGTTCAAATGGCATCTGTTCTAGAGGCATGAATCCTTAACAGCTTTATTTCCTTGAATTCTAAATCCCACAACCATCAGCCACTGAGCTGGCCCATGTCTTCATTTCTAAATTACATGCTCTTCCTTCAGCGCCCTGCTCAAGTTGTTGGCTACAGGAGATGAACGAAGTTGAATATAACTGTACATACAGAAACAGGACAGCTATATGAGGTTTAAAGTGAGTCACAGTGGCTGCCGTGTAATGTGATTCAAGGTAAAGGCAGGGTTCTGGTTTGCATGAACATCATAAGATCGTAAGTCAAACAAGTCTTTCTGTGGCCTTTCATATATAAAACTTCTTTATATTCATTGTTTCCTTCTGATTTACACCCTAAGTAGCAAGACACTAGCTTGCTAAATAGCAGAGGGGTGCATCTTCCTCTATGCCTGTTGCTTCATGTTTTGAAGCTTCATACTCTCTCTTCTGTGGCTTCACTAAAGTTCTCTAACAAGCACAAACTGCACCAGGCTTGTACAATTACCAGTGTGTTTTATGTTACTGCCCCCTCAGACTGCCAGCTTATCAAAAGCCACAATGCACAAGTGATTATTCTCTATCATTCCTG